CTAATTTTAACAATGTTTTCATATTTAAATGGTTTTCATGTTATTTTATGTATGTGAAATAATTTGTTTGGCAGTTGGTCTTTGTTTAAGGTTTTTAATGTTTGATAGTACTTTGTGTATATATATATTGCTCATTGCATAATGCGTTAGACTTAGACTATTCCCTTCTAAAGAGGGTAGGTAACCTTTGTTAAAAGTTTTTACATGTGTTAAGCAGTATTTTCGTCTATGTGGGTGTGTACTTGAATTTGTTGCTAAAGGGTTATTTTATACGTGTTCTATGTTAAAGGGTATTTGAATGTCATGTTTATAGCTAAAGAGTTTATTTTTGTATGGTGTAATTATTTTAATGTGCTTTCATTGATTTTTCTTCAAATTTCTTTATTATGGAATGTAAGTGTATTACATTTCCCTTTTTTAGTATAACTGAAGGTTTTCCCTTTATAATAATGTAATGTAGTGATTTTAAATTACAGCTCAAAGATTGTACTTTACTTTAGTATATTTCATTCAGAGTTATGTCGTTCTTATGACATGTAACATAACAGTTTATAGGAAAGAAGAAAATTAAAATGATCCTTGGCCATGTCACAAATTTAAAGTTTATTGGCTTAAAGGCAAACTTAACTGTAAGCCTGAAGGCAATAATAAAAGAAGAGGAAATAGGAAAAATGTGATATGCAAGCATGTTATATGTTCCTACCTGCTTTTATTAATATAGAAATTGTTAAAATGATGCCTTTACTCTGTTCCTATACAGTTTTGGCATAATCACATGGTGGAAACAATTGTTCCATTCTATTTATCATTGATTCTTTGTTTTGCTGTAGTACATATAATGTCTTTGCCTATTGTGATGTTGCTGCAACTTTTCACATTTGTGTTGGACAGGCCATTAATATCAGTGTCTTCACTGGCCAACTAAAAGATATCTAGACCCTAAAGCCTTTGTATGTTATAAGAAAATGACCAGTCACATGGTAATGCTTGTCACTATAGATAAAACTGAAGTTTCTTGTGTCGAAGGAAGCGTTGGTTTTGGTTATAGTAATTTACATGTAGCTCCACTTGGTTTGAAATGTGAATCAGTTTTTGGAACACCTGTGGTATTCTCAGGTGATCTTATAATACTTTAGAGCATCACCAAATAAGTAAGCTCAACAGAAGATTCGAACATGATATGGAATGTTAAAATGGCGCTGAAATTTGTACATGTTGAGTTAATGCTAAGTATTAAACAGATTGGACACAAATTCTTAAACAGTCTTTATTACATTAAAACTAAAACACCGTGTGTGCACTTGCTTTAGGAACAATAAATGGTTGCTTCTTTACTTACATTTCTCACTGATCACTTGAGGAAAGTCAGGTTGAATATTATTTAGTGGAGACTGGAATGAAACTTGACCACCACGTGACTGTTTATTTTCATTACACAGTGGAGGCCACAATCTCTTGACAATATCTACATAACCACTGAAGGGCATTGCTTTTGACATCCTGAGACAAGGTCGCTTTAAACTTTGAAAATGACAAAGTGACAGAGGTAAGTTGAAACAAGGTCGCTTTAAACTTTGAAAATGACAAAGTGACAGAGGTAACTTGAAACAAGGTCGCTTTAAAGTTTGAAAATGACAAAGTGACAGAGATAACTTGAAACAAGGTCGCTTTAAAGTTTGAAAATGACATAGTGACAGAGGAAACATGAAACAAGATCAACTTAACAATTTTCTTGACCACATTTTATGTGACAACTTACACAGATACAGACCAAAGAATAGAATCAGAATAAATATTATAACATCATAGAAAGAAGAAGCCTATGCTATATATATTCCCATACTACACATCATTTCAAGGGATATCACTATTTATTTAGTAAGAAACGACAGTCGGTGCTTTTCGATATAAATAAATATTCTTTTACATTTTACATCACGTATTCCGCCTATTTATTCTCTTAGCTTAGATTCAGTAATTTAGCTAAATTCGGATTAACTTCATAATTTTCTTGATCAATCTTCCCGTTATTAATCGTACCAATCTAATAATTGTGCCGTTGTGCGGAACTTTCTTTCAATTGGAAATACCGCAATACCAATAGTAGTCTGTTTAAAAACTTCTGAAATCTAAAAATGTGTTGGTTGTTGTTATTTCATTTAAAAAAGGTGTCAATTCGCTGTCGATGGTGGAATAGTATTAAGTATGTCTAACATCCTCTTAAGTATTAATGTTTTGAGTTATTTTTACTTTACATAAGGGTTGTATAATTTTAATTGTCGCTCCATAATCAATGCATATTTTTTTGTATAATCAATATATATTTTATGGTACAAAATTTCTAATTGTTGGTACATAATTATAATTTTTGTGTCATAAAAGTTGGAGTCCTGTACTTTAAATTGTTTAAAAATATTGTATAAAATTGTAATGTAAAAATATTTTAATATTTGATATATATTCACAAAAGTAAAAAAAAAATGTAATGATGTCATATTAATGAGAGCAATCAAGTGCTAACTTTTATTATTAAATACGGTAGTACTTAACAGTAGGGATCGACAAGATTTCAAATAATTCACGCGCCGAAAAACCATCCTATTGAATTCCTAAGGAAAAACCGACCATTCAAAGTATTGGTTACAATATATTATGCACACATATATATACTAATAATGTGCTAATAAGGTCGTTAACATTTCCAGTATAACAATTCAAAAATTTCTAAAACAGCAACTTTTTCGTCTTCTACTTACCTACCTTCCTGATCCCGTTAGCGGGGCTAGACCCTAGATGGCATACTTGGCTGGTCTCTGGATATGCGCTTTGATATTTCGATAACTATATACAGGTTTTTATAGACGGTAAACGTATCATATATTTTAAACTTAATTCAACCCAATAGATAGTGCTACATATCAATGGATAGACGTGACAGTTTCTAAAGGTAAAGTATATATTGTTAAGACAGCGGAAGTCACGTGACGCTGGGAGCATGCGCGCTGGAGCTTCTAGAAGGATCATGAATTTTCCTGGCAACTCT